ACTCTAGTGGTATAGCACTGCAGTCTCATCATGAACAGAATCTAACATTGTGTGAAAATACGATGTTACTATCATTGGCCATAACTGGCAGTCCACCTTCTAGGCCTCCCTAAGGGAGTTTAGGGAGGCCTACATGGCTAAAGTTTGAATGACATATGAATATCCTATTAATTAAGGAAACTCCATGCCCAGTGTGGAGCCCAGTGCGGGCCCTGAACTCACAACCCTGAGATCAAGACCTGAGCAGAGATCAAGAGTTGGGACACTTAACTGACTGAAGGACCCAGGCATCCCTTTCTTAATTTTTAATTACACAAAATACTACTGGTTCACAAAAACTTATTTACCTTGATGTTGTAATTCGTTTCTAAATGGTATATTAATTTCATGAAAGCACTAGATTTTATGCATCATGAATCTGTAACTATAATAATTTTAAGCTGTAAAGACAAATCAGTGGTTAAAATAAAAAACCTGAAGCAGGGGTGCCTGGGTGGCTCAGTGGATTAAAGCCTCTGCCTTTGGCTCGGGTCATGATCCCAGGGTCCCGGGATCGAGCCCCGAATCGGACTCTTTGCTCCGCAGGGAGCCTGCTTCCTCCTCTCTCTGCCTGCTTGTGATCTCCGTCTCTCTAGTAAATAAATAAAATCTTAAAAAAACAAACAAACAAAAACCTGAAGCATAAACATGAAAACGGAGAAGATATTAAGAACAACCTGAAATCAAGAGATCCCCTCTGAGATACCCTGAGATACCTCTGAGATGGAGCTGTTCTGCAGACAGCTGAAGCTCAGAGACCAGAAATTTTAGTTTTTGGTATACAGATAGATGGTAGGTTAATGAAGTTACAGGCATGGACAGAATTTCCCCCAAATAATTTATACAGAGAAAGGGAAGCCCAATATTCAACTCTTAATACTTTACGCTGAGCAGCTAATGAGAGGAAAGTGGAGTGTCATGAGAAAAGCTAGTAGAATGGAGTTTCACAAGGACTCAACTGAGAGGTCCCATAAGAGAGGGACTGAAAAACATCCATCATGTTTAAAAACAAACAGCCCACTGACATGGAGCTATTTCTTTATAATAAGATTTAGTATCTATTATGGCATATTGTCCCTTACAACAATTTTCAATAAAGTTTTCCCCCCATCATTTCTTTGAAAATCTGTCTTATGAATTTAGGATAACTCTGTATGGTTTCTAAAATCATAAAATTCTGCTATTTTGGCTGAAATTTTTATTAAGTCTCTAACTTTGCTGGAGAAATTTTTTTTACAACAGTCTTCTCTTTCAGAAACCTATTTCTGTGTATAAATTATGAAAATTCCAATCACCTACTTAACTTTCATAAATTTACAAAATGAAGTATCACACAGCTATCATTAGGACACACACACATACACACACATACACATACACCCCGAAATCAAGAGTTGTGCTTGACATGAAATCGAAATTCTCCACAATGTACCTGTTCTATGAAAGCACCCTATCTTCGATCACAATCAATGAATTGGTTGATGGCACAGAAACTACTAATTTCAAAACTATAAGGGGTAGATAGCAGAGACAAGAGGGAATTTTTCTGGGAGACAAATTTGTTCTAATATCTTGATTGTGGCAGTAGTTCCACATCTGTATGCGTTTGTCGAAAGTCACAAACTTATACTCTACGAGGGTGAATTTTACTAAATGTTAATTATACTTTAAATTTCTAGAACAATTATAGGAGGTATTTTGATTCTAATGTTAAATATAGACTTATTTTAAGAGATGCAAATGTGCTTATATCTATACCTCTTCTGTGCAAAAATCCAGAATAATAAATACACAAAGCCATCACTTTTACAGAAATTAAAGTATCAACTGAGGGGCACCTGGGTGGCTCAGTCAGTTGAGCATCTGCCTTGGCTCTGGTCATGATCCCAGAGTCTGGGATCGAGCCCCCTCACTGGGCTCCTTGTTCAGTGGGGAGTCTGCTTCTCCCTCCCCCTCTTCGGCCCCTGCCCCCCATTGGTGTTCCCTCGCTCTCAAATGAAATCTTTAAAAAAAAAAAAAAAAAATCAAATGATATCAACCAAGAAACACATATAAGAATATTCATGGCGACAATGCTTGTAATAATAGTAAAAAACTGTGAACTACTAGATATGTCAATCAAAAAGAGCATGCAAATTTTGATAACATTAATGTCAGCATATCCGTATTAAATGAAATACTGAAAGGAAAATGAGTCAATTACACGGCAGCATGCACCAACAATGCTGAATCTCAAAATGACAAAAATACAATGTATGATACTATTTATATTAAGGCGCCTTCAAAATTCAGTTTTACCCAAGGCACAGGTATGGGACAGCAAGAAGACGTAATACGGAAGGTCATCTGAATATTTCTAAAGTATTGGTAATGGTTGACTTAGGATAGATGGTGTTTTTAAAATTATACATGTATCTGTTGGGCACCTGGGTGGCTCAGTGGGTTAAGCCTCTGCCTTCGGCTCAGATCATGATCTCAGGGTCCTGGGACAGAGTCCCGCATCGGGCTCTCTGCTTGGCATGGAGCCTGCTTCCTCCTCTCTCTCTGCCCGCCTCTCTGCCTATTTGAAATCTCTCTCTCTCTGTCAAATAAATAAATCTATAAATTATACATGTGTCTGCTTTATACTTTATAACTTTCATATATGAAATATTTTATAATTTTGAAAATTAAAAAAGCATGCAAATTTTGAAAGATTTTGAGTAATATAAAATTTAAAAGTAATATGAAAACAAGCAAAGTACAAAGATCTTTAATAAACAAGAATATAACTATATTTGAGCTATAACAAATATAGCTCAAAAACAGATGAGATTTTTGTTCAAAGATGACTGTTGGTTGGAAACAGGGATCCAGGAGAGTATCAAACACCTTCCTTCTCCTCAATGACCATCCCACTTACTGGATGCATACTTAATTCCCATGCTTGGGGGGAAGGGATCAATTTTTTTTTTTACTCCTACACAAGATTGCAGGGAAAATAATACTTCTGAGGAGAGACTGGTTTCAGCTAAAATAAGGGAATAAAAAGGATGCTTTAAGGGGAAAAAAAATGCAAGAGGTAGATGAATCTGTTTAAAATGAAGTTTTCCAAGGGGAAGGAAAAGCAGAAAAGGCTGGGAGGGAAAGAACTTGGGGGAGAGCCAAGAAAGGAAAACCTAACACATAAAAAGAATAACTCCCAGGATAAGAAATGTATACATTTCTCCCTCTCATGTGGCAACTAAGTTTTCTAAGAATGAGAGAAGTATAACAAGAAATCATACCCGATCGTACTATCAGAATTAGCTGAAGGTATGTGACAGTATCTCAAAGGGGATGTGAGAAGGATTTACTTTGCTTCATGTGCAACAGTGTGGTAGGTGAGGAAGTGGGCAGAGAAAAATCTCCAGTCTTCCCTGGGAGCCAAGTACACTGAGGGCCTTGTTTTAAAGTTAGAAAAAAGTAAGATTTAAGTTTAACTAGGGCTATAAATAAAAATTTGACAATAATACCTTTCACCTTTCTGCAACACTCAAATGAAACTGGCTCTTTTCAAAACATATGTTTAAATCTATTGCATTTGCCAACAACTCCTTGAGTTTAAAGTTAATATTGAGTTAATGTCTCAGACTCAAAGAAGTATGGAAAACAAAGAAAACATCAAATAACTGTTTACTGGTGGCAGCAGTGAAAGCAGTAAGTCAATTATCTTCCTTAGCTTCACTGGTTTACTACTAAATATCAATTATTACAGACCAATCCTGTATCAAAAATGGTAGTCAATATTCCATTTAATTCAATACAGATAACTACATCTCTTAACATATACTGTACTATTTACAGAAATATCTATTATCTAAAGGTGGTATGTTATAGTAGACAAGAAATAGCAAAAGGTGAATTTGAGTCTCTGCCACTAACTAGCTCTGTAACTGGGCAGCTCAGAGAGTTTTCTGAGCCTATTTCTTAATCTAGAAAACCATCCATGACTGGGTTATTATTAGGAGGATTAAAAACAAAGGAGACAATACATGCAAAGGGGAAAACCTGGCACAAATTGCAACAAGGAATATCACATTCAAGAGCCGTGGATCACCTACAAAGCTATTCTCAGAAATTTCACATCTCTAATTTAATGTATCACAAACAAGCATTTCTTTCAGAACTAGTCCTAAGCCCCAACCTACCACTCCCACACAAACAGAAAATGAGCTGGTTCTATCAAAAAGTCCAAGCTTTGGTTAGGGGCTCTCACTACTTCAGATTTGTATACACATATACAAATCTATGCCTTGGTCCACAACCCTAATATCCAGAAGCAACGGTTTAACTACTTTCCTTTTGGTAATACTAATACTGACTTCCATTACTAAAACATGCTTCTCTAGGAACAATGGGCTGGAAATTGAGTTGCCAGTAATTTATGTGAGCACATCCTAGCAATCTTGTGAATAAACTAATGATAGTCCCTGCCTTATTTTCATTTTATATATAATAACAAAAACTTTAATCACATTTTACCTACAGGTATCAAAAGTGATAGAAGACAAGCTACCATGTTCTCTTTTTGAAATATACATCACTATCAAACCCTGGGCACTAAGCAAGTAAACAGTGATGGCTTTAAAAAATATCTTGCATGCTTCCATTTTTCCATTCCCACACAACTTCATGTGTGTGTAATATCTTCTACTTTCCTATGGAACTTGGGCTATTAAGACAAGTGATTAAGACCACAAGATAAAAAAACAAGAATATTAAGTGGTCAAATAATAAACAGCAGCTCAAGAGAAGACAAACATTCTTCAGAAAAGCTGGCTGAAAAGTTATGTTGAAGAAGTCCTCTAAGAAGAATACTTATTCCCATATACAACAGAAAAGAAGATATTGAGAAATCTGTTTTAAGCCTTCCTAGAGACAACCTAAAATGTATCTGTGACTTTCAGCCCTACGTATGGAAAGGGTAAATATATAAGAACCTGGAAGAAAGCTTTGAAGTGAGCATCCTCTTGAACGGTAGTATTCTGATCACTTGGGAGGAGAGGGAACAGGCTCTGAAGTCTCACCCTTTCACAAATCACCTTGTTAGGATGGCCAGGTAGAGGTGCTGAATTGGCCCCGGGAGATATCTGGGAAAAAGAGGGAGAAGAAAAGGATAGTTCATGGCTAGCTGCACCAATGTGGAGTATCATGTCTACGAAGGACAGTCTGGATTTTCTAGGTATTTGTGTTAGCAGAGACTGGAAAGAAATTAAAAATTAATCTTAAACATGAAAACAAATATAAGGATGGCAAAGGTTGCCTCTGGCAACAGATCTCTCTTACAGAAACTTTTTAAAAAGACAAAACAGCACTGCTCAAAAATGCAAAGTCCTTCCTATGTTTCCCATAATAATATCTATTAATATCTTTTCTGTTGGTATTAATTCTAAAGTTCTAAAGGACAGATGAGACTTCATGTTAAGAAAACCTGAGGTAAAATCATGTATTAAGTACAGAAAGATTACTGTCCATTTTCACTAAGATTAATAATTTTTCATTCTGTTTTTTAATTAACCTTCTGTATGATCTTGCAAAGAAGAGATTTCAGAACATTTGTAGCAAACCTTCTAAAAGGACCATAGGTACAAAAAAGAAGAGTTTGTGGACATCTCAGCTCTATTCAACACAAACCTAGTGACCTTAAGAATAAAGAATAAGATCATAAGACCCAAAGCAAATGACTGCATGTTTTATATGCTTGACTTGACTACAGGTCAATTCACTTAAACTTGTGTGTAATATAAACTTAAATCTGCAGCATTTTTAATCATGGACATCAGGAGCATCACTTGTACCACTGTGCTGTGTACTGAACTACCCTTGGGAGTTAAGGTTTGTGAACTTGCTTACCCCTACATTGAAGACCATGTGCTTTAAACCATGTGTTTGGTTTTCAGTTTCACTGTCTCATTCATTCCCTTACATATAAATGTCTATTCTGTGACAAGCACTGAATTAAGAAGATAGGCATGGTTTCCCACCTTCAAGAAGTGTATGCTATGAAAAAGAAACAAAAGCAAATCACTGTACAATATACAGAGTATCACCTTTCTATGATAATGCTAGGCACTGGATGCTACAGAGAGGTAACTGGCAAAAGACAGTAGTGTAGTCAAGAAACTGCAAAATGTTCAGTTTGGCTATCCAGTACAGAAGTAACCAGAGAGGAAGGCAGAGACAGATCATGAAGTGGCATGCTAATTATATTAATAATACTTCTATAATAACCTTCCTTAGCCCCTTTATAAATTGTTTCTGGTTTGCCATGAGCCTGGTAAATAGATAACCAGGACTGCTGGTTAATATATTAAGCTATATTCATTAATAGGTAAGACTATTATTTTCAAACACCTTCCTAGGAGTAAAAACAAATCACCTGAGAGCCGTTAACTTTAGAATTCATTACTAATGCTACATAAAGTATCTTCAACATGAGCTAAAGCTTATCTCTGCACTACAAGTATGAAAGTGCTAATATTCTTTACCACGATGAAGTATGAAGTGCAGAATCAAGGAATATTTACCAATTGCCTCCTCCAAGTCAAGAGTCATTAGGAAAGAACAAAAAATATGGATCCTGCCCTCAGGGAGCTTATTCTACTTAAGGGGAGGGGGTAGCAAAGCAGCCAAATAGGATGATGTTTTAAATGCCCGGATACAGGCAAAAAATAGAACAGAGGTAGGACCTTTGAGTTTATCTGAAGACATGCAGAAAGATTTCATAGGAAGAAGTGTATTTCACATTCCTGACTCCTCACTCAATCTAAGGAGTTCTTTTACCACTTTAAAGCAATTCTCTTCTCTTAAAACAGTCTGTTCCTTTATATAAGTTTCATACTCTTTTTGTAATCTTAAGCTTATAATTTGCAAGGTACCTTTGAAAGTGTTTTAGAAAGCTCACCTGTCTTCAACAATCATACCTGAAGCAGTCTGCCTGAGCAGCGCACACTGTAACTGCTAGTGTAGTGGCTACCTTGGCCAACAGAGATCAGGGAGTCAGGTTTCCTCTCCTTAATTCTTTGTTCCTTTGAAAACTTAAGATTTCAATCATATATATGAAAGAAAACAAAAACAAAACTCTGGCAAACCCTGGCCCTTGTGCTCATAAATTAGTATTTTCAAGCATATTCCCCTCCTACCCACAACAATTTATTTTGGTCAAAAGCTCCATTTGACTATAAAAAGGGATGACAAAAAATACAATGGAAAAAAGCCATATTCGAATGCTGTAGTTAATAAAGAACCAGGACAAAATGATAGATGGACTTGAAACCAGGTGCGCCCACTGGGTAAAATCAAATATAGTAATTTTGTGTGTCCATGTAAGGCAGAATTCTAAGAAGGCTTCCAAGATTCCCACCTCTGGTACACATCTCCTGTATAATCCCTCCCTCCATGGTGTGTAGGCAGGGCTATAGAGGGAGTGGACTTCATTTTCATGGTAAGGTTAAATTATATAACCGATTATATGAACCCATTCACTGAAGTGAAGGGATTTAAGTGTAATTAAAATCCCAAGTCAGGGAGCCTGGGTGGCTCAGTGGGTTAAGCCGCTGCCTTCAGCTCAGGTCATGATCTCAGGGTCCTGGGATCGAGTCCCGCATCGGGCTCTCTGCTCAGCAGGGAGCCTGCTTCCCTCTCTCTCTCTCTCTCTCTGACTGCCTCTCCGTCTACTTGTGATCTCTCTCTGTCAAATAAATAAATAAAATCTTTAAAAAAAAAAAAAGAAAAAAAAATCCCAAGTCAGTTGATTTTCAAATTAATCAGGGTAAGCCTGACTTAGAGAAAACTCTTAAAAGACATACTGACCCTTCCTTAAGAGATTCTTCTGTTGGCCCTGCAGGTCACCACTATGGTGTCAGAAGGCATACGAACAGGGCCATGTGGCAGAGACATGAGGACACTCTCTAGGAGCTGAGAGAGTCACCAGCTGACAGCTAGCTAGAAAATGGGGGGAATTCAGTCTTAAAATTACAAGAACCATATTGAACCAACAACCAGTGAGCTTGGAAGAGGACATCAAACCTCTCACGACACTGCAGCATCAGACAGGTAAAATCCCTAACATAGGGCCCTGCAGCTTAACCCCATGTAAACTGTGACATAATAGATTCATGTTTTAAGGTACTAAATGTGTAGTAATTTGTTACACACAAGAGAAAGCAAGTATGGCCTGTATTTATCAAAAAAAATGGAGGGGCGCCTGGGTGGCTCAGGAGCTTAAGCCTCTGCCTTCGTCTCAGGTCATGATCCCGGGGTGCTGGGATTGAGCCCCACATGGGGCTCTCTGCTCAGCAGGGAGCCTGCTTCCTCCTCTCTCTCTCTCTCTGCCTACTTGTGATCTCTGTCAAATAAATAAATAAAAATCTTAAAAAAAAAAAAAAAAAAAAAAAGAATGGAAATTGCCGTACCACACCTGAAGAAAGTTTCTTCTCCAGAATTTTAGCTGTATTAATTTGATGAAGAGCTTGTGTCATCAAAATAGAAATTAAGACATTTTTATCTAAGCAATACAGCTGTTTTTAAAATCTGGTAATAGCTAACTTCATGCTAGGAAGTGAACTGGCTCTTTCATCTTTACACACTGCAAGTCTTGCTTAAAGCCACATATCTTGGGCGCCTGGCTCAGAGGGTTAAGGCTCTGCCTTTGGCTCAGGTCATGATCTCAGGGTCCTGGGATCAAGCCCCACATCGAGCTCTCTGCTCAGCAGGGAGCCTGCTTCCCTCTCTCTCTGCCTACTTGTGATCTCTGTCAAATAAATAAAATCTTTAAAAAGGAAAAAAAAAAAAGCCACATTATCTCATGCATACCAGAGCCATAATTTGAAGCTAAGTCTATCTGGCTCTAAAATTCATGCTCAACCCACTAAAACACCTTTAAGAATTTTAAAAGTAACATTCTTAGGGCACTTGGCTGGCTCACTTAGAAGAATGTGCGACTCGTGATCTTGGGGTTTTGAGTTCAAGTCCCATGTTGGGTGCACAGATTACTTTAAAAAAAAAAAAATCACAAAAAAGGAACATTCTTTTTTGTAATCTAACTGGATTATAAAAAACTATTCCACAAAGTCTATTTAAAGCTATTTTAAGTACTCAAAAAGTACTTCCTTGTAAATTATTTCTGATCTAACTCTCTACTTTCCTCAATCTTCCTCATTTAAAATTACTTAAGGTATACCATATCTGGAAACTGATAAAACTGTATTCTTCTCTAACCTGACAACTGTTGAACATTATGAAGACAACAGTTAACTTCAGTCTCTGTTCAGAATGCAACCTATGTTTAAAAAGTCGTGCCAAGAAAACATCCCTGAAAGTTGATTAATCTGCAACTCCCCACACTCCATTTTTAATATCTATTTACATATAACTGTATGATTAATTCACCCAGCATAACTGAGAAAAGCACCTGTTTTACAAGACTAAAGTTAGAGAAAAGTTAAACCTTTTAAGCACTAATGAGATACTATTTTAGGCCATCTTTTATGTAATGTGGCCTTTCCCTGTGTGGTAAGCCATAATATAACCAACAATTTAACCTCTGTCTTGAAGAGTCTAATTATTATCAGTCATGGTGCTAAAAATAACATAGGACTTGGGTCCAGATATTGTCCCAGAACTCGCTTCCTCCAAAATCACTTCTGATGGCAGCTTCCTTCTTCATTCATTTACATTTTTCTCATAAAGGTGAGGTAGAGAATATGTAGGTACATGACCTCTAGGACAGCATTTCTTCAAAATAAACTGCTATAAGGCCAAACAGTCTTCTCCAAAACAACCACATTACTTGGGGGGAGAAAAAAAAAAAGTTGTTCATTGTTACTAGCAGCATACCAACTGGTCAAAAGCACTCAAGTCACAGCCTATTAGAAGAGAGAAAAAAACAAAACCACCAAAATAAAAGATGAAGGGTCAGATGCTTAGTGTTGACTCCTCCGAGTCTTCCTCATTTTCCTAAAAAACGAAAAGGTCAAATCCAAATTATCTAAAAATCCACATATTCTCACTGCTTCCACGATGGCAATGTTAATCTCCTGAAAAGTAATTAAGTAGATTTTATTATTTGAACAGTCTGAATCAGTAATCTTTCATCTGATAAATCCTCAGGTTATATACCAATATGTGAATACCCCAAAATAAGGGAGAAGCTCCATGCACAAACATGTTCATCACAGTACCAACAATTTAAAAAGGAAACTAGAGAGGTGCCTGGGTGGCTCAGCCATTAAGCAGCTGCCTTCGGCTCAGGTCATGATCTCGGGAGTCATGGATGGGCTCGAGCCCCACATAGGGATCCTTGCTCAGCAGGAAGCCTGCTTCTCCCTCTCTCACTCCCCCTGCTTGTGTTCCCTCTCTCGCTGTCCCTCTCTGTGTCACATAAATAAAATCTTTAAAAATAAAATAAAATGGGAACTAGAAGTAACCTAAATGTTTAACAAATAAATATTTGCTAAGTAAAATAATGGTAACATGCTTGATAGATCATCATGCAGCCTTAAACCATATAAGAACTGGTACTATCTACTGAAGGAGGATCACTGCTGTTCAGCACTGGGACAATCACTTTTTAAAACAAACTCATTTCCATTTCTGAGTTAAGGCAAACAAGGTTTGCCTTTCATGTCTTTCTGGGAGCAAAAGTGAACAAGGTTTGGTGATAAATAGTTGAAAGGTTCCACCATCCTTTCCCTAATCCCACAGTCCTATAAATTAATCAGAAGGGGGCAGGGGTGTGTATGCAACTAAGGAGGTCTCCAACCACAACATCAACTGAGAAGGTGGACATAAAGGCTTGAAAAAATAAGACGTACAAATTAATATTTTTTTTCTTTCCCTTCCACATCTAGATATGCCTGCACACGGATTCTCCCAGCAAAGAAGTACATCTAAAATAATTTTATTTAGGCTGGTAACTTCTTAGCACAATTAAGATTATCTATTATCTATTATCACAATTAAAATTACCTCTTCAAGATTTCAAGATTTATCTCTAAAAATTACACAGATTTGCAAAGTATCTAGACTATAACCAGGCCAAATCAGTATGAAAGATGTATATACATAAATGTATTTGAAAAGATACAAAGTGACCAAGCTCTTTGCAATTCTTATTAAATAAAAT